CGCCCAAAAAAAAAAAAAAATACAAAACGCGCTGAGCGCCCACCAGCCGTGCGAGCCGAGGCTGGACGCACGTACGGGCCGTCAGCTGCCGGGCCGCAGAGAGAAGTGAGAAGTGTGACTTCTCGCTGCGAGAAGCCTTTGCTTGCCGCTTGTCTTGCTGGGTTCTTCTATGCAGGCAGCGAGTGGGACTTTGACAAGAGGAAGTGGAAGGAGGCTGCGTTGTTCGTCGCGTTGCCTTGTTTGCTTTGGGGGGCGTTGGTGACATCGGTTTAGCTTGTCTGCTCTTGCAGGATGGGGCCTTCAAGAGTTTCGATCGGTGGATGGAGGAGGCCGTCCAGTTCTCCTGCAAAAAGGCTCGCTGCACTTCGACTGCACATCGATGCAGCATTTGCGAAGCTGGGAACTGCAGGCCTACACGCACCCCTTGACGGGCCAAAAGCTGGCAGGGCCCGATGCAGAGGGCTCCGAGCCGGTGGAGATCGATGAGGCAGCCTACCAGGAGTCGCCTCGTCACCCCGTCCGCGGGCTGCCGCCTTGTATGGTGGGCTTTGCCCAGCAGGAGTGGAGGCACCTCTGGCTGCGACAGATTCTGCCGCTCTCTCAGAGGCGAAGGCAAGCAAGGGAGGTGCAGTCGTGCCCAGGGGCCTTGGCATGTGCCCCAAAAGCGTGGGAGATGAACCGAACCCAAGAAGGGCACAGAGGAGGGCACAGAGCTCTGGAGCTCGGCAAGCCGGCTCTCCGAAGACTGCGCCGGGCTCAATAGGCGCAAGAGGTCTCTGAAGGCCCGTGGTTTTAGAACCCTCAGCAGTCAGAAGTCCGCTCCAGCCGATAAATTCCTTCGACGGGTTGAAGGATCAGTTCGGCGCCCACGTGTGAGCTCTGCAAGCCGACATCGCCATTTTGAGGGACGCTGTGCTTCTGACGGGAGAAGAGACTCAACGAGAGGAGTCGGATGTCTACGGGGCGGTATACATTTCCATGTTCTCCGGAAGGTACATTTGAGAGCTCGTGTCCCGAATCCTTCCAATCAACATAGCTATGGAATCGGTAGATCGTGACGACCCGGCAGAGAGAAGGAACCACGTGCTTGTGTGCTAGGATAGCCGGTGAGCGCACGGCAATTGTCCTCAACGACATCTTGGACAACAAGGCAGTGGGGGCTGAGGGCATTGGCACTCAGACCAGTGCAGTGAGTGCAGTGGTTGCAGGGTGCAGCGCGCCTGGCGACGGGCAGCAAGGCTTGGTTGGGCCCAAAAAGACCAAACCGCCACACGTAGCGGCGATTGTTGTGTTTCTTCGGCAGGTGCACACCAAGGCCGATGAAGAGAAGGCCAAGGAGCAGGCACGGGCCTTGTTCTGGGCAGAGGAGGGGGCTGCGCGGTGCGTGTCCGCGACAGGCTGCCTGGGAGCAGGACGGACGGACTCCTCCGCACTGCGACTCGCGAAGTCGGCTCCCACGTGAGAGCAGAGCGCCTGCTGCCTCCTCGCAGGAGAGGCTGAAGCGGCAGAAGGAGGAAAGAAGGACAAGGCCGACAAACATCTTTTCCCTCAGAGCACTTTCGGGTCATCTCGCGTAATGAAGAGTCTTACAAGAGACTCCTTTGCAGGACGTCTGGATCCCTGGTGAGCCCTGCCTGGATGAGGAGCGCTCTGTCCCATGCCAAGCTGCTGCGCTTGCCAGATCAATGTCGGCGCGTTCATGACCAACCTCTTCGTTGCCATCATTGCCTTGACCCAAGCGGCTGACGCTGTTTACGAGTCGTGCTTTGAAGGCAAGATCATGCTGTAAACTGCGACTGAAACGATGCGGACGATGCCGTGCTCGCTGCGCTGTGCTTCCCAGACGGTGCCCATCTTCCTGCTCGTCGCGAACCACGGGCTCAATCCGCAGACCTATGCAGGCCTCATCAGGCCGGACCAGCGCTGCAAGCTGCCGATTGTGTCAGAACGAGGAAGGCTGGTTCTTGTGTGCTGGATGGATTTTGTTCTGTGTTCTTTAGGAGCATCTTGGCGGGCAGCGGCAACAGCGATACCGTCAAAGGGCCAGCGAAACGCTTTGAGTAGGTATCAAACTGCTTGAAAATGTCTGTGCTCATCCTATGCAAAGCGGAGATTTGTGACTTGATTTGACATAGCCCGAAATCGGGGAATATAATTGAATATCTCGATACTCTTTGTCTCTAATACCCAAATTGTTTTGACCTCAACCTCATGAAGGACTAGAATATCCATATCCTGTGGCAACCAAAACTGAAATCCTAAACCCAAGTCTATTGAACTCATCGTTGCCACTATACTATAATGGATTCATATTTATTATTCGGAAGATTGATAGATTAGATACATTACAATTTGAAATATATTTGCCTTAATTTAATGCCAAATCGATGCTTGAATTATATTGTCATTGAATTTTCTAGGCAAATTACACCTCTTATTTGTTGGCAACGCTCACAGTTATACAGAATATGTTCCCTTTTTTTGCAGCTGTGGTATAGATTACACGTTCGAAAACCTCAAGTAGTTGATGGTTTAACGACAGAATCGTAGTCTAAAAGACGACTTGTGTTCTAGTATCCAGCCCAAGTAGTGCTATGCTACAGAATTAAAACATTAATGAGCACAAGCTGCACTTCAAAGCCTCGATACCGAACGGATTCTGGATAAAGAACGACCGTTCATTTAGAATGGAGAAAATGGTAGTATTGTTGCGCATGTTTAGCAGCAGAACTAGGAAGGGATTGGAGTTTCTCGGTTTACAAGGCAAATACAATTCATCTTCGCACGGAACCGTTCCCGGTTTTTTTCCGCAGACCGGCCAACGAGCATACTGCGCAGGATTTCGCTGCAAAAGAGCCTGATCTACGGATTGGGTGGCTGTCGTGCGGGAAAAAGCGGGAATTTGGCCGCGCA